TGCATAGAAATATTATCATTTCTGATGTTATTTAGAAGTCGTTAAAGCAAAAATCTCCGATCATATGAGTTTTACCCAACCCGAAACAAGTATCGCCTGGACTATTAGTGAAATTTTATTTGTTTCTGTGTGAGAAATTTTAAGAAACCAGAATGTTTCTATACTGTGCCTCTTGGGCAATCATTTTTCTTTCCCAAGAGTCTTGTTTTCATGAATTAGCGCCAGTTGCTATCATTTTTCGCATACAATTAATTACTCTCCAGAAAATTTTGTACACTGGGGCGACTTATTTTTATATTCCTACTTATTCATAAATTTAATAAGAAATGAATTCCTCAAACACAGCCCGGCCGAGAGTTTATAGCTCATATCTGCCAGAAAGTCGTAATGTGACCCAATTCCACGAGTCCAATTACAAATTAATTTATTTTATTTTTTCGCTTATTATTATACTCCCCGCTCGGCATCGATCAGTTGGTGCGTCTGCGACGTGATTCCCTTGATTGCGAACCACTCAGGACCTCCATGAATACCCAGCAGCAGCCGGCAAGTGACGTCGAGTGGTCTCAGAAATTGCCGGGAAATGTACTTACCGCCAAGGCGGCGTATACATTTCAACAAACTTCATTTCTCGTGATTGTCGACTCCAGTTAATGTGCTATAAGGCTAAAATTCCATATTTGGGAGGTGTCGTCTTGGAAGACAGCACAAACGTACAATTTTGAAATAAAACAACATAAATCTGTAGACGAGAGCAAGCAAGCTAGTGCGTGATAGAGTTAATCAGTTGAGTATGTAAGGCGATGCAGGATCGGCCGAAGTTTCGCGTAATAATTCCTGATTAATTTTCTCTACGAAAACAACAAGATTAAAAATGTATTTATTAATATTAATAATTATCTATTAATGTATTATTATTTATATATCTTTAATACAAAATATGGGGCTTTAGGAAAATACGTAACAGAGCAAATAAGAATACGAATCGATGTCGAAGGAATGAGGATAGAGTGGCATATTGCAGTTCTGATGCTAGCTACGTGCCTGAACAGCAAAGCAGCCTCTTATAGAGAAATCCCTTGTTCAACTTTGTGAATTGATATGAATTGTGTTTATAGCAATCGACATAACATTTTATCCCGATCTCGAATACCGTACACCCTTCAGACGAGTATGCCCTTTTCCCTTCTTGTAGATGAAGTGAAAATACTAATACAAGGTTGTCATATTATTAAGAAGAAACCATTGGGATGACACTTATATGTATACTAACATTTTTGATATGCAATAAAATCTTTAAAATGTTACTTTAAAAATACATTTAGGGTTGTTTTTTCCTAAAGCTAAGTCATACGTAAAATAAAATTTCAAATTAAAGTAAGAAAAAATTTACGGTTTTAATTATTTCCTCCAATAAAAATATGTATTCTTGAGGATTAAACACGCAATTTCTTTGTAGTTGAAAAAACTTTTACATATACAATTATCAGTTAATTGGTATTAGAGGATATTTTAATTGAATAAAATTTCAGCCCTTTCTTAAATTTGTACCCCTGATAACTTTTTACGATCTAGATTGATTTCAAATCAAAAGACAACGCTTAGTGAGACTACGATAAAAAAATACTTTCTCAGCTGAAGTAGATATGCAGGCTGCTACAGGTGTGCTCACTACAGGGATCTCGGAAACGGTAACAGATACGGAGTAGCTTTAATGGGGGCAAAGTTGCATAATCAGGGGACCAACATTATGCCTCTAAAAAATCAAGGCTAACGTGATTAATTTTTGGAAATATTTCCGTTTTTTGTTTCATTTCAGCTTCGTTTGAGGTGATATTGAAAAAAGAAGAACACTTTCTCGTGATTTATTTCTATTCTTTTGTTCAAATTCAATAAAAAAAAAATATTAGTTCGTTGATATTTATTTTTAGTGGTCGCTCGCAAACATAGGTACAGGGTGATTCACTATATTTTGACCCACCCTTTAACTTTTTTGTTTTGAGAGTTATAAAAAAATGTGAAATATAAAAGTTGCACGAGTTTTTATGAATTTTTCGAAAATGATAGTAGAAAAACAAATGAAGTCCAAACAAAATGGCCGCGAATGTTAACTTTGTTAAGTTAAATGGAACACCCTGTATATTTTTACATATTTGGATAGAACGTTCCCTGTCGAGCATAGTTATGTAGGGTTTGTTGGGTCCATCGCTAACAATAAGCGAGATACTATTAAAAAACGAAAAGAAGGTTTTTTATTAAGAAAATAAGACATCTTGTAATTGATTAAACCTTTTTTAAGCATTTCTGCCTTTTTTCCAATTAGGTAAGGATTTACATATTTAGTTATAATATATTTTGATATATCGCACATTGATAGGGGGATCAAAATATAGTGAATCACCCTGTACACTACTTGAAAGTTAAAATAATTATGAGTGACCTTTAGAAATCAGAATATCGATTTGAAATTTCAGAATTGAGATTTTTTTCAACCTAGAAAATGATACAAAACGAGAAAAAAATTTAAAAAAAAATTAAATTTTCGACGATTTTGTAAATTTTTAAAAATCTTGAGCGACCTCAAAAAAAAATTTTTAGAGCTGATTCTTTGATGGGGCACTTAAAACATGATAAACTAACATATCTTCACAAGAGACACAAAAAAAAGTATTCGTTTTTTTAGGCCACCCTACTGTATAGTAATAAATACAAATAGGTGAAGTTTCATTAGAATTTAATAACCCCAAATATTCATAACTGATAGCAGTGAAAAATTGAAATTAATTTTTCTCTGAAATAATTTTTACAATACACTTATAAATTGACGTTTTATAAAACATAGCGTTTTCTGAAAATATGCACCAACAAAAAAATATAGCAAAGAACACAGACTGCAAATATTCTTCTACGTTTTTTTGTAAAAAATAAGACTATAACTCAAGGAAACAAGATTGTGCTAAGAAAGCTTTATATAAACCAATTCATTCGTTATAATTTTAAAAAGCTACCCTTGTAGTAAGGCTCATTCGTTTCCGGACACTGTAGATTTAGAAAGCATATATGAATTTATTACCGAATATTCTTAATATCTATTTGCAGTTTCTGAAAATTTAAGATGAGTTTATTTTTTATGCAAATAATATCAAATTTTCTCTATCTCATAAACACACGAAAATAAACAATTTATTTCAACAATTACACGTTTCATGAACAGAAAATTGTATATTTTGCTTTAAAAAGATACTTACATTTACACTGTTTGATGTTCGAAACTACATAATTGTATTGAATTTTTTAAATATAATTCACAAAAGTTCTATGTCTTTCTGCTCCCTAGGGGAAATTTGTGAACGTAATCACATTTACACACAGTAATATATGACACCGTAATTTGTTTGATTTTATTTTTGATCCAATGTAATTATGCGTCGGGGTATCAGAGCAACCCTCGATGGGCCGGAAGGGGGTGTTCCGACATACATTCGTCAAATTGTCACGACACGGTTATTAATGGGTGGCCATTTTGATCGGGTCTTCTTTATCATTGTGCGTCCGTCGGCAGGGGCGGACTAAGGCCAAATAGTCTGTCCATAATTCACAAAAAATAAAAAAATTATTTACAGCAGTTTCAGCTCAATTTAATGTCAGATGAGTTAAAAAATAACACCGCCATAGTGATCTCCGCCCTCGAAAACCTTACGAAACCTTGCCGAGTCCTTTTTTAAATTTTTTGTATATTTTCCAACAGCCGGCGGGGGTAGGTTCAACCCCCAGGGGTCAGTCGGGGGTATGCTAGTGTCGATTAATATAATTTACTATTATTTACAAAAAAATCCAATCCAACCAGCTCTCGGAAATTCAAGATCCAGAATCCAGAAATTGGGGTGGTTTTTCCGATAGGGTTGTTTCACCCTCGAAAATTCTTTTAAAAGATACTACAAACTCTCAGATTTTTGCCCTCTTATTGGGACTTCTTTAAATGGAGTATAACTGTTTAAAATTTTCACGACTGAATAGTTTTAGATGAAGGCATTTGTAAGAACGTTCATCATTGAAACGGAATTATCAAAAAAAACTGAAAATTTTCTGATGACGAAAACGTCGTGTAACACAAGCCAAATCCTTGTAATTTATAGGGCGGTTTTCAGAAGAATTGGGGCTCAATAGTTCGATTATGCTTTCTAAGAACAGTCCCAAAACACTTCGGGTAAAGTAACTTCTTGAAAACGTATCGCCATGTGACAGTCATCTGTTGCATCCGGGAGGAGCCAGCGTATTTTGGGACAGAACAAAGAAACCCATATTTGTAATAACGCGTGAAAACACGAGAAAGTCGTAAATGTTCCAAATTAGACTTAAATCAAATTGTTAAATTGATAATAATTGGAAAAGAAAGTAATAGATTAAAAAGCTGGTTTTTAGGCGGATTTTCCAAGCTATAAGAATATATTAAATGAGATTGACTAATCTGTCCCGTATTGCTACACGGAGTCACTAGAGGAAGGCTAGGGTTACTTGTAAGTTCAGTTAGTCACAGAATTATTTACATCAATGTAAGTCCAGTCAATTAGGTAATTTTTAACATAGTATAGTTATACCAAAGCGTCCCGACATTCAGGGAGCCCACCAATAAGATAAAAGCAGAAACTTCTGAACCCAAGAAATGGGCGTGTCGAAGCGAGGTGTCGAATTCAGAAGAGATCTCCGAAAAAAAGGCAGTATTTCCTTGGGTTCCACATTGAGCAGTCTACTTAGTTTTAGAGTATCGAGTTAATGGATAAAGTCATTCCAAATTTTGCTATGGATCGCGCATTTCCTGAATCTCGGTACTCTGTCTCGTGTCAATAAATTGATTAATAATGTTTTTCGAGCCTGTTGTGTCGTTATTTTGTTTGTTTGTTTTGTTTTTATTGTTATTAAAATCCATCCTGGAAAGTTTTGGTGTTTTCTTGTTCTTCCAACTTAAGTGTCACCTTATACAGCCAACCACTGGATTGTACATGAGCGACGTACGGTAAATGTCTGGAATTCATTCTCTGAACGTACAATATTTCTAAGTTCCCANAATCCTTGTAATTTATAGGGCGGTTTTCAGAAGAATTGGGGCTCAATAGTTCGATTATGCTTTCTAAGAACAGTCCCAAAACACTTCGGGTAAAGTAACTTCTTGAAAACGTATCGCCATGTGACAGTCATCTGTTGCATCCGGGAGGAGCCAGCGTAATCTGGGACAGAACAAAGAAACCCATATTTGTAACAATGCGCGAAAATACGAGAAAGTCGTAAAGGTTCCAAATTAGACTTAAATGAAACTGTTAAATTGATAATAATTGGAAAAGAAAGTAATAGATCAAAAAGCTGGTTTTTAGGCGGATTTTCCAAGCTATAAGAATATATTAAATGAGATTGACTAATCTGTCGCGTATTGCTACACGGAGTCACTAGAGGAAGGCTAGGGTTACTTGTAATATCAATGTAAGTTAAGTCAATTAGGTGATTATTAACATAGTATAGTTATACCAAAGTGTCCCGACATTCAGAGAGACCACCAATAAGATAAAAGCAGAAACTTGTGGACCCAAGAAATGGGCGTGTCGAAGCGAATTCAGGAGAGATCTCCGAAAAAAAGGCAGTATTTCCTTGGGTTCCACTTAATTTGAGAGTCTCGGGTTAATGGATAAAGTCCAAATTTTGCTATGGATCTCGCATTCCCTGAATCTTGGCACGCTGTCGCGTGTCAATAAATTAATTAATAATGTTTTTCGAGCCCGTTGTGTCATTATTTTGTTTGTTTGTTTTGTTTTTATTGTTATTAAAACCCTTCCTGAAAAGTTTTGATGTTTTCTTGTTCTTCCAACTTAAGTGTCACCCTATACAACCAACCACTGGATTACCTTGTACATGAGCGACGTACAGTGTCTGGAATTCATTCTCTGAACGTACAACATTCTAAGTTTCCACGTATTAATTAAAGTGTAATGATAATTATAAATTCCCTTTCGAGAATTAAATATTAAACCCTTTTGAAATCCAGAATCGTTATGATACTGGTCATAACGGTAGATAGATAAATAAAGAAATAACCCCTCAGGTTACAGTTGTTTCTGCTGAAGAAATTGATAAGATGAAGTAAATTAAATTAAACTGCCAGAGAAATATCAGTTTAAGTCTACCAGGAATACAATTTAGCCCAAAAAGGTCCTCCATAATCTGAAAATTAAGAATTTAAGTTTAAGCGGCGTTAACTGAAGGAGAAATATCAATTAAAGCTGAAATATTGAGAAGGAATGCTATGAAGCCGCGTGGTAGGAGGTCTGCCATATTTTTCCATTAGCTCTGAGAAACCATTTCATAACAAAATCTATTTATTATTACGAGTAGAAAAGATTAATATAGGGTCGTATTATATATAGTAACATTATTGTTTTATTTTATACTGTTTGCAACTTATTGTTTAAGCAGTTCTAGAAAGAAACCTACACAACGCATGAAGTGAAATGCAAGATTTTATCCATATTACGTCTTGACGACCTGTTACGGAAATATGTTGTATTACTATAACTTAGTGACCTTGTTTTAAACCTGTTGCTAGCATTGTCTCATTCCCATTTACATAAGTATTACGTAAATTTTAAATAATTTAAGTTTGGCTAAAAGTATAAAATGAGATCAAATGATCATTATGTATTTCTAACATAAAGTGCTATTCTTTCTATGTCAGACTTATTATAACGAAAAATATTCTAAAAGCCCTTGAAAATGCTCCGATCCAGAACTGGATGTCTCCTGTCTCTGTCTCTCCCCTTTCTGCTGATGACTAAAATACATTAACATGGTTCCCTTCACAATGCTGAGATAGTCATTACATGTTATGAAAGTCTGTGTTAAAATGCATTATACAAGTCTTTTAGGGGACATTTATCATGAAACGCTGCGCCGCTTTAAACGACGGTTAATCTAATCTGTAGTTTTGTCAGAAATTACTGATGAGTTTTATCCATTACTGTTTTATATTGACACGCGACACTGCTCGCACGAACCCCACGAAAACGAACATTTTGCTAAAGAACTGTCGTTACATGTTATTCCACATTTTCGTGTAAAATCAATTTTAACGACCTTTGAAACTATCAACATTAGCAATAGTCACTAAGACAAAACAGTAATTTTTCGATATACGTATATGTTCTTTATCTTGTTGGACTCTTTTACTGAATCCAGAAAGTAGTATGTTGGAACATCACTGCTCTTTGTTACAGGAAACAGTACGAAGAATTCGACGCGCCCGCGAAGAAAGGCAGCGAAGTTGCAGACGACGCCAGTAGTCCGGAGAGCATTCCAGAGATCGACCGGCCACCTCTTAGGAAGATCGACCACTACATCCGACCAGAAATACCATGCCTCACCAAAAGAATCACAGTAGCGTTCCTCAGTTGTATGGGCTTCATCATCATGTTTGGCATGAGGACGAGTATGAGTTTTGTCAAAGTGGAATTGGTAATGAAACAGTACAGGGCTTTCATTAATGTCCGAGACCCACGTGATCGCGACGATAGGCAACCAACATTACATTTCCCAATACAAATTGGTATTCCATAAAAATTAAAACACTGAATCAGTCTATAGCACCAGTGGTGTAGATATTTTATTTTTATCAAAGGAAAAGGTAATTTAAGAAAGATGTCATTTTAGCCGTTTATTTTGATGTATTAATTTAGAAATTTACATTAACTCAGAACTGAAATGAAGAAATCCGGCTTACACCTGGACATTTCATATTTATTAAAAAGTTTATTTATTACATATTGCATACATCTTGCCATAAAATTTTTATGTTCCAGGTAAAAAATTAGTCATGTTTACACTTGTTCAAATTTAAACTAGAAGTTTTAACAGGTAGAGAATATAAATAAGTCACAATAGTTTTGTTTATCTTAGGATAGGTTTGGAACGTTTGATGTCGATACAAAACAGAAAATAATTTTACCACTCACCAAAACACTTCTACTTTTTCCGATGCTGCGTTTTGTTAACAAAGTTAACATTCTCAACGCACCATTAAAAAGTGTTTTGGTGAATGGTATTTTGTTTAGTTTTTATTATAAAAAGTGTTCAAAATGTCCTCCTTCATTTTCTAGACACAAATTTACCCTCCGTTTAATGCATTCGAAAACACGTTCCAATTCATGGCGAATCGTTACTTCTAGGTCTTCAAGTGTGTGAACTCGCTGCTTGAAAATATTATTTTTTATACGTCTAAAGAGATAATAATCTAAAGGTGTAAGAATAGGGGTTCGACTAGGCCACAATCCCCTACTAATAATTCGATCCCCATAAAATTCTTCCAAATATCTAACCGTTTCTGCTGCGGTGTGTGCTGGTGCCCCATCTTGTTGAAAATATCCAAATCGTAATTCGTCATCATGCATTTGCTCTAAAGCTTGTCGTAAAATCCCCCTATACCTTTCACCATTTATCACTTCTTGAAAGAAAATTGGTCCTATTATCCGCCTCCTTGAAACGGCTACCCATATACCAATTTTTTGAGGATGTAACGAAGATTCAATAAACTCATGTGGGTTTTCTGTAGCCCACGTTATGTAATTTTGGCTGTTAATGTAACCTGATAAATTCAATAAATCATTGTTGTTCAGACTTTCATTGAACCATTCACAATACCGTATTCGTTGGTAGTAGTCTGGTGGATGCAACTGCTGAACAATAGAGACTTTGTATGCGTGCATGTGCAATTCCTTCTTTAGCCTTGTGACACGTTCCCACCGAGAACCCTATCGACAAACAAATATTCAGAAATGTACATACGTTATCTTTAAACGATATAAAATTTTTATTTTTTTACAACATATAACAGTCTCAAATTTGTGCTGCTTCATTTCGTCTACATGATTCTGCTCTGCAGTTAACACTGTAGACTCACATTCTCACAACGTCTTATGAGAATTTCAGATTAATACACACAGAAATTAATTTTAAGGCTTTTAAGTTAATTATAAATGTAGTTTCAAGTATTTAATGTGTGTAACATAAAAACTACCTGCATACCTGTTTGGGCAGACAACTGGGGGATAGATTTTTTAGGGCTCTGCTCCATACGTTGTCGAATATCGTCAACTGCATTTTCAGTTAAAACTGTTGGCCTGCCTGTTGATTTCCCCTTACAAATACAATGTTTTTCATCATATCTCTTGACAAGTATTGATTTGTGCTTCCTAAAAACGTCATAATCAACGTCTACATCAGGGAAAGCTTCAGTGAATTGATCAATACAGAATTGTAATGAATATGATCAAATTCCATCTGGATTTCGCGTGGCACTCCGAAAATGTGCCTTTAAAATATAGGCATCTTGCTCAGGTGTAAAAGGCATTTTTAAACACTTGAAGTCTAAAAATATGAAACAGATAACGAGCGTTCAAATAAAAACGTGATCGAAGTTGGCTCTGACACATTGGACGTAGGGCGTAGCTTATAGCGACCAACTTAACCTCATTTCTCAACGAGCTGTATAGCAGCTGTCAGTTTCAATAACAAAGCGGCGATACAGCGCTTTGACAGATGACGTTTAAGTTCATTTGCTATACGCTACGCCCTACGTCCAAATTTTCAGAACCAACTTGACCACGTTTTTATTTGAACGCTCGTTATAAGTAAACATAACATTAAAATACATTATTTACTTACGTATAAAACACAAACAAATTCTGTAGTTCTGAAAAGAACTGTTGTCAGTAAAGTAAATAAACGTAAAAATGTTGGTAAATCAGAAAAACAATCAAGGGAAAACGTACTGGCATAAGAAAGTAATGACGTAAACTATCGGCCGCGGTACCGTGGGTGGACGCCTCTGGACTGACAGCTGGTTTAGGGTCCCTAAACTTGAAATTTTTGGTAATAGCCAACTTAAGAAAATCAAATTTATTGATAGTGACAACCAATTTGGTCACGTGGGTATCGGACATTAATGAAAGCCCTGTACAAGTAAAATGACAATTAACGTATAATAAAAACAACAATATAGCTATTCTTCTGGTCAAAAAATATTAATTGAAAGCAAAACGTTATGCAATTAACAAAAAATAAATTTGCAATGGATGTGTCTACATACCAAATCTCTTATTTGTATTCCGTTTCAGAACAATACGTGGACGAATGAAACTTTGGCAGCGGTTGATTCTGCTATTTTTTGGGGTTACTTTGTGACCCAGATACCAGGAGGTTTGATAGCGGCGGCCTATCCCGCAAATGTGTTGTTTGGAGCCGCTATAGGATCTTCCTGCATCCTGAATCTTTGTATTCCAGCTGTATACGAGAATCCAAACTTCCTTATAGTCGTTAAAATCCTACAGGGTTTAGTGGAGGTAAGATATGAGACAAATTTAAGGGGCATATGCCTACAATTCTAACAGATTTAGTTTGTTTAAGGAAATTGGTAATTTTCTTGTTTTAGGGAGTCACTTATCCAGCATGCCACGGCATAATGAGGCACTGGGCTCCACCTCTAGAAAGATCACGCCTAGCAACTCTGGCCTTCAGTGGATGTTACGCCGGCGTTATGTTCTCGATGCCTATATCTGGGGCGTTAATAGGAGCCTTTGGACCTCTGTCTCCTTTCTACTTTTATGGAGTAGTGGGGATTCTGTGGTACGTTATGGGATTAAAATAATAAATAAGTATGTCAATAAACAAGATAGAGAAGAGAGGACAACGATAATGCAGAACCCGGTGAAGCAAATGTAAAGAAACAACAATCTCAGATTTGCTGGAATAACCTGTTATATATGGAGTAGATATAATACTCTTCTCTACTACGATCATTTGTAGGTTTATTGTGGACCGCTATGAAGTTAGAGTTCCTCATTTAACTTAAACCTTTTAATAAGGTTGCACAATTTTGATAACGATTCTTTCACGTAGCTTCCAGCTTCTCTTACTTGGTCTCCAATCTCCTGCAATACTTCTTCCTCTTGGTGGAACCTTTCCAGGCTGTCTTCTACCATACTAATATTCCTCAGATGTTTTTGCGTCTGCAGTTCCAATTAGCAGTTTTACTATTATCCTTTCTAGTCTACAAGTTCAGTTTGATCCTTTTGCTCCACTTTATTCATTGATTTCTTGTCAACATTATCGTTTACATGAATATTTTAATGTTCGATCCCCTACAGATGAGTTTATACTGGTTCGTAATGCACTTGGTCCTCTTGTTCCAGTATCCATCATTCTGACTTCCTGTCCTTGTCAAACCTTTCCAATAGGGCCATACCAGCCTAGATTTCATTTGGTACGAGTTTATTTCCTTAAGCGGTACCTCTCCGTCGATGGAAACACTTTTTTCGATTCTCAGTAACTCTGTTGCATAGTATTCAATATCTTCTACTTGAAAAAGTTTAATGCTAGACTAACTTGGACTTCAATTCTTTACCTAATCTCATACGGCTCCAATTTTTTGTTGTGTTTCCTATGAAACAATTAGTGAACTCTAAATCACTAACCTCACTGAATTGCTATTTACTGTCGTTGTCCATGTTTCAGGTACCTGTCGTGGATCTGGTTAGTATTCGAGAAACCCGCATATCATACCTGTATCGAAGCAAAAGAACTGATGTTTATACAAACGTCCTTAGGAGACTCCCAAATGACGTACGAAGCACCCACGCTTCGAAACACCCCTTGGAAAGCCTTCTTTACGTCGATGCCGTGCTACGCCATATTCGTGGCGAATTTTTGCAGATCCTGGAATTTTTACCTACTTGTTATCTTTCAAGCGATATACTTTAGAGACGCCTTCGGGACTGGGTTGACAGAGGTAAAATATATTTTTATATAAATATGTTGATGTTAAAAGTAAACTCACTTTAAACGTACTATTCGTTGTCCAAACAAAATTATTTTATGAGCTAAATATAGCCAGGAAAAATATGCAAATAGCACCCACTGTACTGCAACGTTATTGCTTTTGAGTAAATATTTGCTCGCTTTTAATATCCGGTTTATTACAGAACGCGCTGCTTGGGCCCCTTCCTCACTTTTTCATGACAGTGGTGGTACAGACTGGGGGGATTCTGGCTGATAAACTACGAAAAAATGGAATTTTAACCACGACTCAAGTTAGGAAGCTGTTCAACTGTGGAGGTGATTACTTGATTTCCCTTAGCATAGTTAAACCCAGTTATTTATCACTTACTGTTCCAAATTTTTAGGGTTTGGAATGGAAGCAACCTTCTTCCTGATAATGGCTTACTCGAATACAGTAACTCAAGGAATGACGGCTCTATCGATCGGAGTGGCCTTTAGTGGTTTTGCCATTTCCGGATTCAATGTCAACCACCTGGACATTGCCCCCAAGTATGCCAGTATTCTAATGGGCATTTCTAATGGCATCGGAACCATAGCTGGTTGTATATGTCCACAAGTGGTGCACAAAATAGTGCCAATGGATGATGGACAAGGCTCTCATGTCCAATCAGTAAGTGATGCCTAACCTTTTTAAATGAGTAAATCAATGCGGAATAAAGAATCGTATCTAATAAAGTTGGCATTAAATTGAAAACTAGCCTAAATGAACTTTTCGCCGTAAACAAATATTTTCTTATATTTATATCAGAGTTGGAAATTTTTCGTGCCTTCCAATAACACATATTGTTGAGGCCCAAATAACGTCTCTTAAGGAGATATATCGGGGTCTGAGGGAAGTGAAGAGCGCAGGGGGGGTCCTATGCTTTTCTTATGGGACTAAAACCCGCTGCCAATTTGAAAAAATTAAATTCCATTGAAATTATTTGCGATAATTATTATATATAGCAAATATATCGTATTATCCTCTCGAAGATTTGTATCCTTTATTTAAAATCCGTAAATCATGTGAACTGGTAGAACAACGAGAATTATGTTAATTTAGTTCTAAAGAAATGAAATGACACTCGCGCCCATCTCTCGTCCAAGTAAAGAAAATGTTGGATGCAATTTTGAAGGTTCTATGATAGATATTACATTATTACTCACTGTTCGTGTTTTTAATCATTTTAGTAATGTTACAAAAGTTTTG